GATTTTATTTATTTGCCCTGTTTTTTTTTTTTTTCAGGCAAATGAAAATAAAACAATGTCTGCCAACCTGAAATACCTTTCCTTGGGAATTTTGGTCTTTCAGACTACTAGCTTGGTTCTAACTATGCGTTATTCTAGGACTTTAAAAGAGGAGGGACCACGTTATCTATCTTCCACAGCAGTGGTTATTGCTGAACTTTTGAAGATAATGGCCTGTATTTTATTAGTTTACAAAGACAACAGTAAGTATCTGAGTTTTGTTTTGAGTCAATAAAATTTGTGTAATTTACACATATGTAAATACATATTGGAAGTATACATTTAAACTTTTTTTAAAAAAAATATGTATTTATTTATTTGAAAGGCAGAGGTACAGAGAGAGAAAAGGAAGCAGAGATCTTCCATTCGCTGGTTTATTCCCTAAATGGCCAGAAGAGCTGGGCTGGGCCAGGCCAGGACCAAGTCAGGAGCCAGGATCTTCGTCCCATCTCCCATATGGGTGGCAAGGGCCCAAGTACTTGGGCCATCTTCTGGTGCTTTTACAGGCACATGATCATGGAGGTGGATCAGAAGTACAACAGCCAAACTGACACCCATGTGGAATTCCAGAGTTGCAGGCCATGACTTACCTCACTGCATCCTGGGAGCAGCCCCCGCATTTAAACTCTTATAGTAGCTAATTCTCTAGTATAGAGAACATTTCAATATTTTTTAGTTTTATTAAGACAGCTTATCTAACAGTAAAGGCATTTTATTCTAATCTATATCATGATTCATGACTTCCGATTGCTATAAATATCAGTAACTTGGATTTATAGTATAATAACTTGAAAATAAAAGTAATCCTAGTTCTGTGACACTTAGGTTGCTAGAGGAGTCAATAATTTTTTATTAAATCGAGAGCTTTTAATTTTTTTGATTAGTAGAGCAGTGATTAATTTAATCCAATTTTAAAAATAATTTTATTTAAATATAATTCACGCCGGCGCTGTGGCTCACTAGGCTAATCCTCCGCCTAGCGGCACCGGCACACAGGGTCCTAGTCCCGGTCGGGGCACTGGATTCTGTCCTGGTTGCCCCTCTTCCAGGCCAGCTCTCTGCTGTGGCCAGGGAGTGCAGTGGAGGATGGCCCAAGTGCTTGCGCCCTGCACCCCATGGGAGACCAGGAGAAGCACCTGGCTCCTGCCTTTGGATCAGCGCGGTGCGCCGGCCGCATCGTGTCGGCCGCGGCGGCCATTGGAGGGTGAACCAACGGCAAAGGAAGACCTTTCTCTCTGTCTCTCTCTCTCACTGTCCACTCTGCCTGTAAAATAAATAAATAAATAAATAAATAAATAAATAAAAATATAATTCACAACCATACAATGCATGTACTTAAAGTCTACAATTCAGTGATATTTGGTGTATTCCATTATTCATTTTTTTTATTTATTTGTTCGGAAGTCAGAGTATCACAGATACACAGAGAAAGAAGGAGAGGCAGAGGGAGGTCTTCCGTCGTCCACTGGTTCATTCCCCAGTTGGCTACAACGGCTAGAGCTGCGCCGATCCGAAGCCAGGCACAGGGAGCTTCTTCCAGGTCTCCCATGAGGATGCAGGAACCCAAGGACTTGGGCCATCTTCTTACTGCTTTCCCAGGCCATAGCAGAGAGCTGGATTGGAAGTGGAGCAGGTAGAACTCGAACCAGCACCCATATGGGATGCGGGTGCTACAGACTGCGGCTTTACCTGCTACGCCACAGTGCTGGCCCCCTCCATTATTCATTTTTTTAAGTTGTAATAAAATATATATAACATAAGATTTGTCATTTTATCAATTTTTAGTGTATAACTAATTGGCCATTAGTTAAATCCACAGTGTTGTATAATCATTACTGCTATTTCCAAAGCTCTTTCATAATCCCTAACCTAAACTGTAATTATTAAATAACTTCCCATTCTTATGTCTAGCCCTTATAACTCTAATTTACTTTCTGCCTTTTTTTTTTAAGATTTTATTTATTTATTTATTTGAGGGGCAGAGTTACAGAGAGGGAGAGTCAGAGATAGCTATCTTCCATCCACTGGTACACTCCCCAAATGGCTGCAATGGCTGGAGCTGAGCCCATCTAAAGCCAGTAGCCAGGGGTTCCTCCTGGTCTCCCAAGCTGATGCAGGGGCCCAAGCACTTGGGCAATCTTCCACTGCTTTCCCAGGCCTTTAGCAGAGAGCTGGATCAGAAAAGGAGCATCTGGAACATGAACTGGCAAACATATGGGATGCCAGCACCTCAGGCAGAGGCTTAGCCCACTATGCCACAGCACCAGCCCCTACTTTCTGTCTTTTTAATTTATCTACTCTAGGTATTTCATGTGGTATTTTTCCTTTTATGTTCAACTCAGAATATTGTTTTCTACATTTATCCATGTTATAACATGTTTCATAAAAACTTGTTTGTCGGCCAGTGCTGCAGCTCACTTGGTTAATCCTCCTCCTGCGGCGCCAGCACCCTGGTTCTAGTCCCGGTTGGGGTGCTGGATTTTGTCCCAGTTGCTCCTCTTCCAGTCCGGCTCTCTGCTGTGGCTGGGGAAGGCAGTGGAGGATGGCCCAAGTGCTTGGGCCCTGTACCCGCGTGGGAGACCAGGAGGAAGCACCTGGCTCCTGGCTTCAGATCGGTGCAACGCGCCTGCCGTCGTGGCCATTTGTGGGGTGAACCAACAGAAGGAGGACCTTTCTCTCTGTCTCTTTCACTCTCACTCTAACTCTGCCTGTCCAAAAAAAAAAAAAAAAAAAAACAAACAAACCAACTTGTTTGTATGGAGAATAACATGAGTATTTCAAAAGCTATAGAATGTGAAATTAAAAGGTAAGTTTCTGGTAGGTATTTGGCTTAGTAATTATGGTGCCACTTGTCCTGGCTCTGCTGCTAATTCAGCTTCCTGCTAATGTACACTCTAGGAAGCAGCAGGTGATGGCTCAAGTAAGTTAGGCTCCTTGCCATATATCTGGGAGACCTGGATTGTACTCCTAGCTCTCAGTTTTAGCTAGCCCAGCCCCAGTCATTGCAATTGTTTAGAGAGTGAACCAGCAGATGAGAACTCTCTTCAGTCTGCATGCCTTTCTCCCCCCACCCCCCGCCTTTCAAATAAATTAATAAACAAATGATTTTTTGAAGTTTATTTTGTCCATTTTTCCTTGAACTTTTTGAGGTACTCTTATATTCCATTGTATGACTATACAATTTTGTTTAATTATTCAAATGTTAATGGACACTTGGATTAATTTTGCCTTTTGGCTATTGTAAATAATGTTGGCATTAGCAATGAATAATGCTGCATTAGATGAACAGATATCTGTCCCAGTCTTGCTTTCATTTCTTACATATTTAGGAGTAGAATTTCTGGGGCATGTTGGAATTCTGTAAGTTTTTAAACAACTGTTAAACTTCTCCACAGGAATTGTACTATTTTATATTTGCACCAGCAGTGATGTATAAGGGTTTTAATTTTTTCATATCTTCTCCAATATTTATTTTCCTTCTTTTAAAAAAACTAATATATATATTTATTTATTTTTGTAAGGATGGACTTCATGAACTTCATTAAAAAATAAGTCTTTTGAGGACTACAAATTACAAAGTAAAATATTTATTTATTTGAAAGATTTCTCACCCGCTGGTTTACTTCCCAAATGTCTACAACAGTTCACGCCAGGAACTCAGTCTAGGTCTCCCACATACGTGGCAGGATCTCAAAACTTGAGCCATCACCTGCTGTGCATTGACAGGAAGTTTTTTTCAGGAGCCAGAACTGGGAAGAGAACATAGACACTTGATTTTGGGATGTGGGCATCCTAACTGGCATCTTAAACACTAGGCCAAATTCCTGCCCCTATATTTCCTTCTGAACTATATCTGACATGGATTGCTAGTAGATTGGATATGTGAAGACCAGGAAAAAGGAGGAATGCAATTTAAGGAATGATTCTTAGGTCTATAGATTAAATTATAGGGTGAATGGGTACTATAATGGATGATGTGTAGAAGATGGATTTGGGCAAAATTTGTGGCATTTTATGGTGCCATGTTTGAGATGCCTACAAAGCATTCAGACTGAGATATCAGGCAGTACAGTATATAAAAATGGATCTCAAGGATTTGTGAGCTTATATATTGCTTTAAAGTAAGAAATAGATGAGATAGAAACTAGAGGAGAAGGCTCAAGACTGATCTCCATAGCATTCCCAATATGTAGATGACACCTTCACAGTAAGACTGTGAAGGTGTCATCAGCAAGACAAAATGGAAACCATGAAAATAAATAAGAAAGCTGAGAAAGTAGTGATGTTGCTGCAGGGGTAGGAATTCAGTTTCTGCCAAGGTCCACGTGGATATTTATAACATCATTCACAGACCATACAAAATTATTAACTTAAAAACTAGCCTTATGTAGATTATTGAATTTTGAGTCCCGCCTGTGGTTGCCTTTTGCAGGCCTAAATCAAATGATTTCAGAGCTTTTATATGGTCTATGGTCCAGGTATTTCCCAACTGGAGATGAACAGAGGTATCTGCTGCATTTAACATTGTGGAGCTAAACATGTTTTTAGTGTGAATAGTTGCATTGTGAAGAGATATGATAAGGACAACTTTCAGTGAACTGAAGCATGATTAGTCTCAATGCCCAAAAATAAATTTCAGGGGCAGGTGCTATGGTGTAGTGGGTAAAGCTGCCACCTGCAGTGCCAGCATCCCATATGGGTGCTAGTTTGAGTCCCAGCTGCTCCACTTCCGATCCAGCTCTCTGGTATGGCCTGGGAAAGAGGTAAAAGATGGCCTAAGTCCTTGGGACCCTACACCCACATGGGAGACCCCGAAGAAGCTCCCAGCTCCTGGCTTCGGATTGGCACAGCTTCGGCCGTTGTGGCCATTTGGGGAGTGAACCAATGGAAGGAAGACCTTTCTGTCTGTCTTTCCCTCTCACTGTCTGTAACTCTACCTCTCAAATAAATAAAATCTTTTAAAAAAATAAATAAAAGACAAAACTTTATGACTTGGTGATGTGAATGATTATAAACAAGATATAAAATGCACAAATAAGTCATAAAAGAAAACAGATAATTTAGGCTACATTAAGACCTAAAATATCTGTGTATCAAACCAAGTAAGAAGACAGTGTTTATATCACATCTATCCACTAATTATACCTGGAATTACAAAGAACTCTTACAACTCATGAAGAGAAAGACAACAACTAAATAGAAAACAGAGGCAAAGGCAAAGGACATAAAAGTTTAGCAGTACCAGGAATTGGCAGGAATGTGGAACAAAACCTTCCCCAAAGTACTGGTGAAAAAAAATTATGATAGTGTTCATTACTTATAGTTTAATTTTAAAATGAAAAAGCAAATATTTAAAATTATTTTCTAGTAAAACTAAGAAAAAATCAGTAACTTTTAGTTAACCATTTTTGACTTCTTTGGGGATAAGGAGAGGATGGTATCAGGTGGCAATCTTTTAAGTTTTCTTCATTTCAAAATACACCTTAATTAGTTTTCATGTTTTACATTGGGAGGGAAAATCATCTACAAGACGCCGCAGTTGATATAGTGGTAAGATTCCTTAGAACTTCTTCTTTTTGGAGATGTTTTTGTGATGAATACTATAGTTTGGTTAGCTGATTCCAATACATTTCTCCCTTTTTTGTCTAATGTGGAAGGAATGGAAAGATTCAATTTCCTACCTCCCTTGCAGAAAGCAGTGACCATATAACACAGTACTGATCAGTGGGAATCAAGAAGATACCTGCTAGACTATTGTTTCCTCTTCTTCCTTCTTGCTGCCTGACAGAAGAACCACCATCACTTGGTGACCTTGTTGAACTTATCATGTGGAATACACACAGAGTAGAGAGAAAAAGAAGTATGTGTGCATGCACACACATGGATCCCTGAGCTGCTGTGTAAACTTTAAGACCTGGATACATGCTATTTGAGAGAAACCGCTATGGGACTTAGGCCAGTGTTGAGTTTTCTGTTTGCAGCCAAACCCACTCCCTAACCGACTGAATCTTCTTTTTATGATTAAAGTCTCCACAATTGTTAATTGGCATGAATGATAAATAGGATGTACAAAATATACATTTTATAATGTTACGACATAAAGTAAGAATACTTGGCAAGCAAGTTAGTACTTTGAGCTTTTGATTATCAAATATGTGATATTGATTATCATAAATATACCCACACAAGAGTACTTCACAAACTTTGTGGAAAATGGAATTAAAAAGATAAGTTTGCTTTGGTGCAAAACAGTTTTGATATTTATGCATAGTTTTTTCATAATTGCATTTTCCATGAACTTTTAAAAATCCCTTATATGTATGGATTCAAATTTTTTTGCACTAAAATAAGCTTATCTTTAATTCCTTTTCCTATTAACTTTTTGAAATAACCACATATGTGATCAATTTGATTATATATCTGAAAGAAAGAGTGTAAGAACAATGCTCCCTTATAATATCTGACATTTGAGAAATTAGCATCAAAAAAGTATATTGTGGACCTAAAAATACCTTGACATACTGCTCAATTTCTTTTGAGCAAACAGGCCCTGAAAGAAGGGATGTGTAACATACTCAGAATTCCCTAATTACTGATTGTTTTTTCCATTTCACATGTTTTTTCTAGAATGTAGTCTAAGAGCACTGAACCGAGTACTACACGATGAGATTCTTAATAAACCCATGGAAACACTTAAACTTGCTATTCCATCAGGGATATATACTCTTCAGAATAATTTACTCTATGTGGCTCTGTCAAATCTAGATGCAGCTACTTATCAGGTACTTAAAATATATTTCTAATAGTATATTTAAGAAAGAAACAAACAAGCATTAATAATATTGCTATTTTCTTTTTCAGGTCACATATCAGTTGAAAATTCTTACAACAGCATTATTTTCTGTGTCTATGCTTAGTAAAAAATTAGGTGTGTACCAGTGGCTTTCCCTATTAATTTTGATGACAGGAGTTGCTTTTGTTCAGGTAACTTTCAAGATAAGTATACCTTTCATTTTTATCACAGTTTCAAAACCATATTTATTTTGCCTCAAGAGTATGTATTATTTATTGAAGAAAGTAAATGCTTATTACTTACAACTAACATTTTTTGAGGACTTCCTCTGTACAATATACAACATTGGAACTGTAAGTGATCCCAAAGAAAGAATTAAAAATAAAGTATCTTTGCTAAATAATGAATGATCTAGTTGTGGAAATGAGACACTACATATCAAACAAAGATAGTTTTTACTGGGCTGGTGGACCATTTGAGATTATTAGCCACTCACTTCTTATGGTCTGTTAATTCACTGATAACCATTATTTTTTGGTTCTCTTCTCTTTCTAATGATTCCTTATTGACTTCCTGCATGGCCTCTTCCTTGATTCTTCTTTTGTGTTTAGGTTGCTTATAGGCTCATTATTTTTCTTAAGTTATGTTCTGATTTTGGGAGATAATTCTGTAGGTTTTTATTAACACTGATATGCTAATGACTTCTTAGATTATGTCATCAGCTGTTATTGTCATCTATAATATCAGATATATTTATCTAGAAGCCTGTTGGATATTTTTGCTTGTTTGTCCAATAGACTCAACATATCTAAAATTAAACTTTATCTCTTTACCACCAAATCTGTTCTTGTTTTTACTTTTTGCAGTCATTATTTTCTCAACCTGGGAGATATCTTAGATTCTTTCTTCTGCTGTACAACTGATCAACCACTTTACACTGTAGTAATTCTGCTTTCTAAGACTTCTTGGTTTTTAGCATTGTCTGTTTCTACTGTCATTTCTGTGGTTCATGGCTTTCTTGAGCCATGGTGCCAGCCTTCCTCCTCATTATTTTTTTACTTTACTTTTATAACCATTCCCAGAATCCAGCTTCTACTAAGTCACTTACTGTGACATCTATATAATATAATGCAGGGGTTGGTAATGTGGTGCAGTGGTTAAGCCAGTGCTTGGGATGCCTGCATCCCATATTTGAGTGCCTGGGATTGGGTCCCACCTCTGCTTGCTTTATTTATTTATTTTTTTTAACAGATAGAGATAGTGAGAGAGAGAGACAGAGAGAAAGGTCTTCCTTTCCGTTGGTTCACCCCCCAAATGACCGCCATGGCCGGAGCTACGCCAATCTGAAGCCATGCCGATCCAAAGCCAGGAGCCGGGTGCTTCCTCCTGGTCTCCCACGTGGGTGCAGGCACCCAAGCACTTGGGCCATCCTCCACTGCCCTCCCGGGCCACTCTGCTTGCTTTATTATTATTATTATCTATTTATTTATTTATTTGAGAGGCAGAGTTACAGACAGTGAGCGGAGAGAAGATAGGTCTTCCATCCACTGGTTCACTCCCCAGATGGCCACAATGGCTGGAGCTGGGCTGATCTGAAGCCAGGAGTCAGGAGCTGCTTCTGGGTTTCCCATATAAGCAGGATCCCAAGGGCTTGGGCCATCTTACACTGCTTTCCCAGGCCGTAGCAGAGAGCTGGATTGGAAGAAGAGCAGCAAACTGTTGAAGTATTACCTCCTCAAAATTACCTTCCAGACAGCCCAAGCTGAGCATTTACCCCTTCTTTGCAACTATGGTAATTTGTGTATATATTCCCATACTACCTATAGTTAGATGCTTATGTATGTGTCCATGTTTCTAATGCACCTTAAGTTCCTAGAAGGCAGTGGCTGTGTTTCACTACTCCTTCTGTTTCCATTGCCTAATTAGTAAGATTTAAGCTCCTGGGTTTGGATCAGCTCAGCTCCAGCCATTGCAGCCATATGGGGAATGAACTTACCAATGGAAGACCTTTCTCTCTGTTCCTCACTCTCTGTCTGTAACTCTAATCTTAAAAAAAAAAAAAAAAAAAAAGGGAAAACAAATGACATTTGTTTTTACGTGACTAGTTGTCAAGTGGTTTCTCTTTTGTTTTGCAAATCTGTGAATACTTTGCCACCTTTTTTTTCAATGATTCATTTTATTTATTTTTTCCATTTTTTTAACTTTTATTTAGTAAATATAAATTTCTTTTTTTTAACTTTTATTTAATGAATATAAATTTCCAAAGTACAGAATATTGATTACAATGGTTTCCCCCCATAACATCCCTCCAACCCGCAACCCTCCCCTTATCCACTCCCTCTCCCCTTCCATTCATATCAAGATTAATTTTCGATTCTCTTTATATACAGAAGATCAGTTGAGCATACATTAAGTAAAGATTTCAATAGTTTGCTCCCACACAGAAACATAAAGTGAAAAATACTGTTTGAGTACTAGTTATAGCATTAAATCTCAATGTACAGCACACTAAGGACAAAGATCCTACATGAGGAGTAAGTGCACAGTGACTCCTGTTGTTGACTTAACAAATTGACACTCTTGTTTATGGCATCAGTAATCACCCTAGGCTCTTGTCATGAGCTGCCAAGGCTATGGAAGCCCCCTGAGTTCACTGACTCTGATCATTTTTAGAGAAGGCCATTGTCAAAGTGGAAGTTCTCTCCTCCCTTCAGAGAAAGGTACCTCCTTCTTTGATGACCCATTCTTTCCACTGGGATCTCACTCATGGAGATCCTTCATTTAGGTTTTTTTTTTCCCCCAGAGTGTCTTGGCTTTCCATGCCTGAAATACTCTCATGGGCATTTCAGCCGGATCCGCATGCCTTAAAGGCTGATTCTGAGGCCAGAGTGCTGTTAGGACATTTGCCATTCTATGGGTCTGCTGTGTATCTCACTTCCCATGTTGGATCATTCTCTCCCTTTTTGATTCTATCAGCTAGTATTTGCAGACACTATTCTTGTTTATGTGATCCCTTTGGTTCTTAGTCCTGTCATTACGATCAATTGTGAACAGAAATTGATCACTGGGACTAGTGAGATGGCATTGGTACATGCCACCTCGATGGGATTGAATTCGAATCCCCTGGTATGTTTCTAACTCTACTGTTTGAGGTAAGTCAGCTTGAGCATGTCCCGAATTGCACATCTCTTCCCTCTCTTATTCCCCCTCTTATATTTAACAGCGATCACTTTTCAGTTAAGTTTCAGCACTTAAGAAGACTTGTGTATTGATTACAGTATTCAACCAAAAGTATTAAGTAGAACAAACAAAAAAATACTAAGAGGGATAACATATTAAGCTGCTCATCAACAGTCAGGGTGAGGGCTGATCAAGTCACCATTTCTCCTAGTGTTCATTTCACTTTAAGAGGTTTCCTTTTTGGTGCTCAGTTAGTTGTCACCTATCAGGGAGAACAAGTGGTATTTGTCCCTTTAGGACTGGCTTATTTCACTCAGCATAATGTTTTCCAAATTCCCAACAGGGATCACTTTTCAGTTAAAATTTAAACGCCTAAGAATAATTGTGTGTTAATTACAGAGTTCAACCAATGGTACTAGAACAAAAAAAAAATATTAAAATGGATAAAGTATTACATTGTACATCAACCGTCAGGACGAGAGCTGATCAAGTCACTGTTTCTCATAGTGTCCATTTGTTCATCATCAATCAATGATTCATTTAATTATTTGAAAGAATTACAGAGAGATGTAGAGCCAGAGAGAGAGAGAGATCAGAGAGGTCTTCCATGTGCTGGTTCACTCCCCAAATGGCTTCAACAGCCAGAGCTGCGCCGATCCAAAGCCAGGAGCCAGGGGCTTCTTCCGGGTCTCCCATGCGGGTGCAGGGGCCCAAGGACTTAGGCCATCTTCTACTGCTTTCCCAGGCCATAGCAGAGACTGGATTGGAAGTGAAGCAGCCAGGTCTTGAACGGCGCCCATATGGGATGCCGGCGCTTCAGGCCAGGGCATTAACCCACTGCACCACAGCACTGGCCCCATTTGTTGGTTTTGTTGTTGTGTTTCTTGAGTTCTGTATAGATTTATAGGTCCTAGTATTAATCCTTTATCAGATGCACAGACTGCAAATATTTTCTCCATTCTTTTGATTGTTTCTTTACTTTGTTGAGTGTTTCTTTTGCTGTGCAGAAGCTTCTCTGCTTGATGTAATCCCATTTGTCTGTTTTTGCTTTTATTACCTGTGTTTCTGGGGTCTTTTCCAAGAAGTTTTTGCCTGTGCCAATGTTTTGCAGAGTTTACCCAATATTTTTCTCTAGTAATTTGATGGTTTCAAGTCTTAGGTTTAGATCCCTCACCCATTGTGAGTTGATTTTTATATAAGGTATAAAGCAAGAGCCTTGTTTCATAATTCCACACACAGAGATGCAATTTTGCCAGCACCATTTGTTGAAGAGATCATCCTTTGTCCAGGGATTGATTTTTTAGCTCCTTTGTCAAAGACTAGTTGGTTTTAGATGTGTGGATTGATTTCTGGGGTTTCTTTTCTGTTCCATTGGTCTACATGTCTATTGTTGTGCCAGGGACAGGCGGTTTTGATTATAACTACCCTGTACTATGTCTTTAAATAACTGGTATTGTAATGCCTCCTGCTTTGTTCTTGTTTTTTTTAAGGTTGCTTTAGCTATTCTGGGTCTCTTGTTTCCATGTGAATTTTAGCATCATTTTTTCTAGACTTGAGAATAATGTCCTTGTTATTTTCATTGGGTTCGCATGTCAATTTACTTACATATTTGAAAGGCAGAGTTATAGAGTTAGAGAGAGAAGGAGAGACAAAGAAAAAGGTCTTCCATTTGCTGGTTCACACCCCAAATGGCTGTGATGGCCAGGGCTGGGCCAGGCTGAAGCCAGGAGTTTCATTTGGGTCTCCCATTGGGTGACAGGGGCCCAAAGACTTGGGCAGTTTTCTGCTTTCTCAGGTGCATTAGCAGGGAGGTAGATTGGAAGTGGAGCAGCCCAGACTCAAACCAGTGCCCATATGGAATGGCGGCAGTGCAAGGGGCTCTTAACACACTGCAGCACAGCACTGACTCTGTCAAGTGATATTTGTACACTGCTAGTGCAGATCATTTCTGGGAGAACCTCAGGGATTAGGTTGGATTTGAATTATTTTTTAAAATATAGTAGCTATAATG